AGATTTCCATTGAGATTTGATGCTTTTGGAGGCTTTTGGATGGAGATTTCTATTAAAAAACTTGAGATTTCCATTGAGATTTGATGCTTTTGGAGGCTTTTGGATTGAGATTTCCATTAAACATTTGAAGATTTCCATTGAGATTTGATGCTTTTGGAGGCTTTTGGATGGAGATTTGTTTGAGATTCGATTAATATTCCAGATGTCTTCAAAGTTAGGAATTCTTATTTCCTTTTAATTTAATATTGCCAGAGGTCTTCAAAGTTAGGAATTCTTATTTCCTTTTAATTTAATATTGCCAGAGGTCTTCAAAGTTAGGAATTCTTATTTCCTTTTAATTTAATATTGCCAGAGTAGCTCCAGAGGTAGCTAGCTAAGGATTCCTTATTTAATTATCAACTGATTGATTTTCTTATACATTATTTTGGAGGCCTTGGCTGTTGAGGGGGGGGGGGGGTTTATTAATCAAGGGACTACATTAAGCCGGAACAGGCCAATTTTGAATGGCCTGTGTGGATATTGATGGAAATCATCTACACCACGCATTTCGTCTTTCTTGCTAACATCATGGCAGCATCATGATTTCAAGCACAGAAAGATTGCCCAGAAGGGCCGGTCCGACTTTATTTTACAATGCTGAAAGCTGTGTTTCACAATGCCAAAACATGTAATCCAAACTAAACTGCTGCTTGGGCCTGGAATGCTGGTTTCAGACAATTCCCAACATGACACCAGCATTGCGCTCGCTTCACACGGATTCTTGACTTGATAAGTCACACAATATGCAACTTGCAAGCCCCATCTCGTATGTGGCTGATATACAATTCAATGATCGGTAGCGCCAAGCTTTTCCGTGATCCATGATCCACGCAGGCCAAGACTTTGTCAATGATTTGTATTGTAAATATGTGTTTTCAGTTGCGTGGTTGATGGTTGAAATATTCACAGAGAAGCAGCACGCCCCAGTACCAATTTTTTGAGTAAACAGAAAGACAGCTGACAAACAAAACAAACCTGTGGTAAGACATGCGAGAGAGCTGTACATGCTCTGACAGTGATTTTTGCAGGGGTCTTGAGCCGGATATTATGGATGGTACTGGCTGGATTGGCTTGGTGCTGCTGACGGAGCGGGGTGTTTCTTCATCACATCCACTGGGACGTATGTTGGTTCCACCCATCGATCACTTGGGTGCGAATATACGAGACTCCAATGCAGTGAGACCAAGTGCACTTGATGATGTCCGAGTTTTGTGTAAGGCCTAATTATATACTAATTATATACTTATAGGGCCAAATTTGTTCAGGATACTGCTACGAGTGCATTGCCAAGCTTCCAGGATGATAGTCAATTGTCCAACATATAAATATATATATAAGGATACAGCTAATGACATCAATCAAATTACAAAGTCAGTCCGTTCTCGTGTCGGTCAGTCGTTTCGCTAGGTCTGATAGATTCACATATCTCGCTAAGATATGATTTCCACTGAGACAGCACAGGCACAGACCACTTGGAAAAGTGCAGTCCATGTGGGGATTGAATGACAACCAGGCAAACCTCAGTACACGCTCCAAATGGCAAGGAACATATGTTCGGCACAATGATGTGCCTGGCATCTTCTTTTGGTCCCTGGAATGTTCCAGAGCCTTCGCTGCATGGTGAAGTTTTGGCAGTGTGCTCAGACAGACTTGCTTCCAAAACTCAGAGAATCCTCTTCAAGTGACATGTGGTCTCGTCCATAGACAGGCTTGTTGGTCCGCCATTTGCCCTGAGACGGTTGCTGCAATTCCCAGAGCTTTCATTATGATTCCAAATAGAAGATGCATGGATATGTAGCCTCATCAAATATTGAACAGATCTCAGGCACATTGGCCTCGATAGGAGCCCGCGCTGCTGGAATACCCTACTACCCTGCCACCATGATACTTGACAGAAAAGCAACACTTGAAGACTTGAACTTGCCTTCTTGATCAGCCTATCCTGCACAGATCAGGTTCCGCACAGTTGACATGGAACCCTTTGCAAAGAAGACCGATATGAAAGTAGCAGATCCAGGCCTTGCTGTCCATGTAAAAATATATTCTTGTTTGGGGTGGAACCAGGCGGCTTGATCCCAAAGTAAGTGCAATATTCAACCTTAGACCCACGCATGTTCCGTTCGGCAGCTTCCGGAGGTTTCACCTTTGACTTCTCTTCCAGACGCACTGGAATCTTCAGTACTCCTGGAGTTTCTGCAAAGTGGCAGCTGAGCGGCAAAAGCGATGAAGACCGAGATGAGGACTTCACGCGGAAAGCCGAATGGTTCGTGGAAAGGCACGGCTTGGACCCACAGTTATTGGATGACAGTTTGGATTCATCACATTTATGAACGTAGCATCTGTCAATGCAATTCAACCCTTCCCGTGTTGCCCAACAGATACTCGGTCTACGCAGCTTGGCCTTGGGGCAAAGGACCACTACTGCTTCGGGGAGATGTGGCCAAGCAGAAAATAAACAAGCATTCTGAGTGAGAATGGAATGAACCTCGAAGACTCATCAAAGTCAAGATGATCGACCATTTGGAGGCTACACTACAGCTCGATCCAAATTATGGACGCAATGAACTTGAAGTGTTTGTGGTAAAATAAATTTAACAAAACAAAATGACGTCAACAAAAAACATGTGATTGCTGCAGTATATACATAATTTGGAAATGTATGCATGGATGCACCAGGTTCAGCATCCCGAATGGCCGCTACAACGAGCCGTGATTGAAAGTTTGGATGCCTCTGAATTGCTTGAGGATTGGCTGCCATGGCTGATTAAGTTGTTCTCTTGTGTGTGTGTGTGTGTGTTTAAGTCTTCACTTGCTTTTATTGCATGAAGGCTTCAGAAATTGCATTGAATGATGGTTCTTTTTCTCCGGGTCCAGGCAGCAGGATGGACAGATCTTGCAGCAGCAGGCGTGTATTGTTCCTTGTAACTATATATGATATATGATGATATATGTGGCAAAGGCTTTACAACCAAATGCACAAGGTGGTTTGTATTATGTGACTGAGCATTCTTGGACTGGACACCAGTTATGCCCTCTCAGTGGTTGTTCCGCACGGCTGAAAGTCTGAGGCTCATATTGTTTTTGTACAACATATATACAAGTAAAGAACAAATGAGTTTGCGCCCCTTCAATGTAAGGTCCCCTTTCTGTATATATCACGAAAGCCAGCCGGTGGGCAAGGCTTGAGGTTCTTGAAGCGAACCAAGTGAGTTAAAGGAGGGGGGGGTCGTGAGAAAAAAAAGAGGTGGGCCACTTGGTAGTGAAAAATTAGTTGTTTTAGGGGTATGTGATGCCGGTGATGTAATTGACGGCCAGTAGTGCATCATTAACATCACGAGGGGCTCAGGAGGCATTGTAAACCGATTTCTACCAGGGGTGGGAGTTCATGTCAATAATAGGAAAGAGGGGACAATGGGACGCGAAAGGCTACACAGGTTGCAAGGAGATGTGCGCCTCTCGTGGCCAGTGAAATAGTGTTCGACCAGGGGTGACAGGGAGGTGTGTGTCTCTTAATGCATTGTGTGATCTGTGAGGAACCAGAATGCTGTGGGGAAGGTAGAAGACAGGCATAGCGTAGGAGGACGTGGTGGGAAAAGATTTGCATGCTTAGCGTGCCCTTTTTAATGGTGAAGACGCCTGTCAACTGTACGACGCAAAAGGGCACCCCAAGTGAACTAAAACTTGTGTTCCAAAGAGACTCTCCCCAACCCCCAATATGGGGCGCGAGTTCATGTAATGCTGTGGTCCGTTGAGGGCAGGAAAGAGAACAACATGCAGCGGGCAAGCTTTGAATTGCTTGGGGGTGCCCTTTTTTAACGGTGAAGAGGCCTGGTTGCCGGACTCAAAAGGGCACCCCATATGGGGCGGGAGTTCATGTGGACGAGAGAGGCATAGCAGAGGAGGACGTAGGAAAAGAGGGATTGCAAGAAACGATGTGACCCATTCATTGAGAGGAACAGAATGCAGCGGGCAAGCATCGAGTTGCTTGGGGGTACCCTTTTTTAATGGTGAAGAGGCCTGTTGACCAGACACAAAAGGGCACTCTATATGGAGTGGGAGTTCATGTACAAAGTGGGCATAGCGGGGGAGGAGGTGATAGGAAAGTAGGTGTGGAGCTCACCAGGGCTCTCGCATTCACCCCCCATAACCATATTTATATATATATATATATTGATGTCTTTTACGGCGGCTGGTTTTCGTCCCCTCCCTTCTCAGGTATATATATATAATATATATATATCCTTTTTGTTTTATCTTCATGTTTGTCCTGTTGATTCGTAACTTGCATGAGACTACTATATCATCACTCCGAATCATTCCTATTTGTTTGAAAGGCCAGATGTCTTCTGCTCCACATGTTTGTTTCTCACGGGGAGTTGGACCAGTGGAGTTTTGGATGTTGGAACCTGTGTCTTGGCTGCCCAAGCTCCATGTATGTCAACATTGGTTGCTGCCCGAACTGTGGTGTCCGATGGAAGCTAAATTTCAGTGAGATAGGTCTGGTGCATGATTTTGTCAGTTCAGGTTTGAGATGTGATGTCCTTGCAGCCCTGCGACATTCCATGAAAACGGCTGATGAGAACCAATGGACCACTGCAATGTGTGGCGCCATCGTATTTCCTGTTCAGATTGTGCAGAATTTGTTTCTTTGGCAAGCACGCTGAGAGATGGTGCCCGTTCCAGATTTTTGTCAAATGTTTAAGCGCAGATGCGCGGTTTTCTAACCGCTTCAACCTGGGACAGCTGTCAACACTACTACTATATTCTAGATGCAAGCTAGAGGAGGCAGAATATTGTTGGACCAAGAAGTAGTCAAACAGCAATGTGATGCAATGTGATTTCATGTCCTTACTTGCTATGCTGGAGGATTGTTTGCAAGTAGTTTCGATGCTACCGTTGTCGAGAAAGTCCTTACACTGACCTGTTTGCTTGGAGTTGTAAGCTCGTCCCTTGTTTTGGCTGGCCAAAATTTTCTGGCTTTTCATTTGCCGCGTATCAAGAAACGAATAGGACAATGGAGCACAATGGAGCAATGTGTTTGCTTTACTTTGAGGGGTGGGGGCACCACATCAACATATATAGATACATACATTGTACCCAGATTGGTTTCGTTGGAACATTGTATACCATGATTCGCTTTCTCTTCCACAAGTTAGAACAGTATGTTTTACAAAGCACCGTACCTGTCTATTCCCAGAGTTTCCGAACACTGGTAACTGCCTTTATAGTTTTGTGTGCCAAGTGAGGCGTAGTAATTAACGGCTAGTGCAAGCATGTGCAAGCCACGTGCAGGTGAGAGGCGGCATATGTGCCCTTGTGTTTTAATTTAAGTACACCATGGAATCTTGCAAGGCTCACCGAGCGACAAGCACTAAGGCCAATTGCTCACTTACCGCCTCTGAGGGTGTCTCCAGAGTTTGGAGCCTGATTTTGGCATCATGCGACACTGGCCGTCCAAACGATTAAACAAACAGGATGATACAAGGTTTACTTGATTGAATGACAGCGAACGAGCAAGTCATGACGGCTTCACTCAAAGGTCCAAGAGTTTGCAAGAGTGTACATAAGTCGGTATAAGTGTGTTATGTTCGACCACACGGCTGCGCAGTCTAGCCACATGACTCAGGTCTGATGAGTTAGAAGCAGTCCAGATTGGTGAGGCGCTTAGGCTGACTGAACGATATAGCCTGTTGCTGTTCGATTTCAAGTCTGTCAAATCAGTTCTTTTGAGTTTCAAGGGATGGCAAGTTTGATGGGATTGAATTCTGTCCCACTGTTCGCCAAGGTGGCGATGTTCTACTCCAGCCCAAAGGAGGCATTATGAACCAGCAACAGCATTTAACAAACAAAAGTAATAGTGAGGTATATTTTTTGTGGCGATGTGACTAGAGGCATCCAAAGGCAAATTGATAGAAGAAGTTGAGTCAATGGAATGATTCCACATGTCATGGGTCGCTTGCAGTTAGTGAATCGGAATTCAACCTTTTGTTGGCATACTCTACCACATCGAGATAGACATTTGGATTGAAACAGATGATATCTAAGCAATATCGACTGATGTTCCAGGAAGAAGAACGTGTTTTGCCCTACATAGTTTTATGGTGAAGCAGCATCATCAAAGCTATTGGGAGATAGAAGAAGCTTCTTGGGAGAGGAATCCAGAGACCTACATGGACTTCGGGGCAGAGAGTTGAGAATTGGAATTGTGGAAGAAAGACAGACAGGAGTGAGGCAATGTGCTCGCTTGGGAGAAGGCGATTCAAAATGATTCAATACTATTCGCGCGCCTCATGTCGTGTTCTTTGCGTGTTTTGTGATCCAAGGTGGCAAGGAGGGCATCAAATACATGGGCCATTGGGACAGCTTGGTGGGAAGAGGCCAAGAAGCTTTGATTGTTTTTTGCACGATCACACTCTGCGTAGCCGAGAATGGGGACAGAAGAACCGTTGTGTGTCTCCTTGCAGGAAAGCCTAAAGGCCAGAGCTCCCCAAGCTGTCAGCTGTCCATCAGAGTTCGCTTCTCAGATCTGAAGCTTGTTCCTAGTAGTAGTAAGGCCAGGAGCCCTTAGTAGCATCCTTGTTCCTAGTAGCGAGCGTTCTTGTTCCTGCTTTGATTTGCAAAACCAGGAGGCTTTGATAGATGGATAGTGGCATGCAATCGTCATACTTTAAGAAGCACTTTAGCGACCAAACCACAGCAAAGAACACCTGTGACATGCAGCATGCGATGTCAATAAATTTGGTCTTGCAAGCCAAACTTACTATAGAGGATGTTACAGAGGATAAAGGGATTATTTGATATATGTTCGATTCTATTTTATGAAGGGACAAAAATAAGCAACACTTTGACCAGGCTGATTTGGTAGGTAGCGTTTTAGGGTGGGAGTTCAGCCGACCCTTTCAGATTGGCCTTTGAAGGCATTTAAGCAGCACAAATGGACTGTAGACCTGCGGTGAAAATGGAGCCACGCTGGGAGCCCAAAGGAAAACGATCGTAGGATACAATAGCTAAGACATTCTACGGTGCTGCCGTCAGACACGCTTTTTCATGTCATGAGGTTGAGTGCTGTAACGATTTAGTGCAGAAGTGTGCACATCATGTTTATGATTGACTTTGTTGAAAAATATAATCTATATATAATTACACATACAAATACGCATTCTGTTAGGAGCAGCGGATGATATGTATGTGCCGAGATGTTCGCTGTGGGTAGAGTCTCAGCGACAGACATGTGGACAAATACAGATTGGCAGTGTTTGGCGACCTCTTGAAGGCATTGGCCCTGTGTAGGTCAAGAGATACCATGAGATACTGTGGCTTTCTAGATTTTATGAGGTTATCTTGTATGTTGCTGCATTTGACTCTTGACGGAACCTCGGAGACCTGGAGAGTTGTCACATCTCAGCCTCAAGTCGCCAAGCTGAGCTGCGTCGATTTTCAAGGCAGACAGAAGTGAGAAATGAGATTGAGGAAGTTTTGGAATCAACTGGGAGAAGAAGAATCAGCTTGTAGGTTGCTGTTTGTAAGCCTCTCTAACCTGTTGCTCCCAGGCTACCCTACAAGTTACTCAATATTTGTTGAGACTCCCAACAAAAGAACATTTGTTGAGAAAAGACATTTATTGGCCTTCTTGGGAGGGACATCGGAGGTAGCAAGCTTTGGTGGCTTGAGGCGTTTGAGACGAGCACTTTAGTGCAACTGAGTAATTCGCTTCAGCGCTGCTGCACTGCTGCTGCTGTGCCAAAGATGCCAAAGGCAAAGCTCAAGAGGCCCTCCAAGGCTCAGATACTGGGTGTCCAAAGAGGAGTAAAAATGACAACGCTGTAATGAGAAAACAGACATCGCAGCAGCACAACATCGCGAGCTCAAATCATTCTTCTGAAACTCTGAATAAAAAGACTACAGCAGACCCGCTTGTTGTTGCCTGAGCGCTTACTGAAGTTGGATCTAGATGTCGTTCATCAAAAACCAGCAGCTGTTGTCGATCTTTGTCCAGGCGAAAAGGAAGGCCAAATGCAAGCCTGAAGCCACCAACACTGTGGCGAGCACATGTGAAGTGGAGCGAATGAGGCACTATGACAGAGTGGGGGAAGTGGACTATCCAGAGACGAAAAGGGAGATGAGATGTGTAAGGACTTGATTTGACTTGTATAGATGAGTCTTTTTGATTACAATTCCCATGATAAGGCATGGAGTCCGCATCGTTGGTGGACACGCTTTGCCATGTCCCTCCAATTTTCCGACCCTTCGCTTCCACCGACTCCTGTTTAAAGTAGGACTTGCAGCCTTAAACGGAATGGAGGACATGTCATCAGTCTGGCACAAGCGTGACACAAGCAAAATCCAAAAACATACCATTTATGTGGTAATATATTCTGCATACAAGCAGCGCAAAGCAGCAACAGCAAGTAGCTTGACTGACTGCTGCAACTCAGTGTTGCCGCTGCCAGGAAGGTCAAAGAGCCATTCCTGGACATGTTCGTGAGCGCTTTGACCAAGGTGCACTTCACTTCTGTATGCCTCCGGGCTACCTGCAGCTTATGCGAGCACTGTACTTTTGCCTACGAGCACGAGAAAGTGCAATGTTTTCAAGTTGCTTTGCTGGTCTTTCAAGAAAAAATGCGAATTTGCCAAACAAAAAGAACGGAAGTCAGTACTTATACAATTTTATACCAAGCTTGCTCTGTGGGGTCTGATGACTGGAGCTGAGTTGGTGGCAGGGTGATCCTGATCCTAGTGAGATGGCCTGGCATTTGCATGGGTGCCAAGTTCTTTTTTTGAAATTTTGTGTTTTGGTTCAAGAAATCTCCGAGCCACAGGAGATTGAACACATTTTGCATAATGTGCAGCTTTCGTGGCAGGGGCAACGCTGTCCAGAGACTGTGATAGCTTGATGGCTCAGATTTTGTGGCAAGAGCAGGGGATTTCGCACTTTTCACAAAGAGCTGATGCTGAAGTTTGGAAAACATCTCGCGCAACTTTCTCGTTTTGGAGACTTGCGACTTAGGGCGGCATTTTGGGTTAATTGAGTAGATTGTAGTTTCCCACGAGCCCGATGTTTGTTGGAGACTTGGGTTTTTAGCTGCTTCAATTTCTGTCACAACAGCACTCTACACTACACGACCACACTTCCACCACTGCCACCACCACTTCCACCAGCTCTTCATGCGCTTTGGTTACAAGTTTGTGCGAGCTTGTGTTCTTCTTGCAACTTGCAGGGCAAGCAGGACGTTTCATTAGACTCAAACGGTTGGGGTCTTTACTTTGCTGCTATATACATATATATATATATGTGCACATTATGTCCTACAGATTGCTCGAACAGCTCAATTGTTTGTTGCTACAGGATGCTACATGGACAGCTGCAAGAAAATAAGTTGCGTGACCGTGACATAAGGAGCGCAGGGACGCACCACGGCGTTTGTTTGGTTTTGTCTATCGGTTACGCGTGTTTAGCACAAATAGAAAAGCTAGTGGTGGGTTTCACTAATCGGTGCAACAACTGGCCATACTCAACAGTGACATTGTCAATTTCTGCCCGGGTTGGTTTGAACAAATTGCCAGCTCGTGTCGCACATGCAATGACAGTTCTGCGAGAGAGTAGTACTAATAACGGCAAGTATATATAGTTGTGTTGAAACACTTGTGCGTGTTCATGGAGTCTTTCACGAAGGGAAGCCTTAGATGAAGCACTGTGCCACAATGCCATAAACTGAATCAACATTGAGTGGTCTCGCAGAACTGGGTCGATATGAGTGTCAACTGATAAACAGCAAAACTATGTTTCAAAAGTGAAAAAAAAGCATCAGGTGGGAAAGTAGGCTTTGTGTGGGGTTCTTCAAGTGTTTGTTCTATTGGTCACTTAGGACTTGGAGGTGCATTGATGCCTGGAGAAGTGATGCACCAGTGGCCAGCCTAGTCTGATTTGCTGAATGTGATTTGGGTGATTCAAGCCTTTGTTGTTTTTTTTGTCAGGATACGCTGCAGGAGTGCCTTTCTTTTTTGGGTTCGTTCACATGTCGCTAGAAGGCAGAACCTGCTTGTTGGCGGCGTCTTGCACTTTCGTGTAATCTTACAGATTGTAGGAGCATGCCATCAACGCACAGAAGGTATTCCTGGTGATTCATTAATGGAATTGTTGTTTGCACGACTGTGCCTGCACTGACAGAGGTATGACATGATTTATGGGGACTCATGACAACTACAAAACGCTGAGGGTCCGTTGGTGAGACGGCGTGTTACCTCTTAAGTGGCCTCTCAATCTCCAATCGAATGTGATTGTCCAATGATGCTCGAAACCTTAGCCACACTGAGGCAGCTTGCTCGCTTATGCTGTTCAGTGAGGTGTTTGGGATGATGCTTGTGAGACCCAAAGGTTGTGAAATTTGCAAGGGACACGAGGTACTGTAGCCTCGTGCTACAGTGAAAGTTGATGATGTTAATTCTTTCCTGGGAAGAGGCGTGCATCCGCCGGCCACTGGTATTTGATCACAGCGGCTCATAGCGCACAGGCCTTGCCTGGCCATGTCAACCTTTGTGATGTGCTGGAGGTGGCAGGGGCATGGAATCCAAATTGGAACTAAAGAAAAGCTAGAGTCGTAAGTTTGACGAAACTTGCGGAAAAAGGGCCAAGTCTTTTTGGTTGCCACTGGGTTGGAGCAGTCGAGGACCCCAACAAGTGTCAAAGTCAAAAGGATCGGAGGATAGGGGCAAAGGAGCCTGTGAGCCCCGGAAACGTGTTATTTGTTGTCAGGCAATCGACTACCATCATTACGTTCGTGGTGAGATAGGCAGCGACCGACTGGATCTCAGTTGCCTTCAAGAGTCTTGGGGTATGACACTGCCAGATGTACAACTGCAAGGATTGTATTGAGGTGCCAATCGCATGTCTTCTTGGAAGGCAGTGGATGTGATGGGCATTTCCTAATTTTGCACTGAACATTTGTGGCCTAGGTTGGGAAGAGAGGCGTGTTAACGCTCATGAGCTGCTGGAGAAGCTCAAAAATGTGGAGGCAGTTGGAGAGTCTCCAGGCATTGTCAATTTCAATATTTATGCTTTGGATAGTCCTCCTTCTTTCAAACATCCAACCGCTGGTAAACCAGGTAATTCGTACAAAGCACGGTTTGGCGGAGGCAATCACAATCATGTCATTCAAGTTTTGCGCGCACCGAGAAGTCCCAGATATCAACAGAGCACTTCATATGTAGTTATTCTGTGTAGTTCTATTTTGTAAAGGGGGTATGCATATAGTAGCTAACAAGTAGCTAGTAGTAAAGGAGGTAAGTAGGAGACCTTGGAAGCTACGAGTATGGACGCTGGAAAGCTCACACTTCTCAAAGGAAGCTTCCCCTGCCTGAGGGTGGGGGGAAGCTTCCTTGAAGAAGCGCTCGCACTATTCATGTGTTTCCTAGACTTTTGGTGAAAATGGTGTGCACATGAACGCGGGTCCTCAAGGTGTCTCCTCGCAGCTTCTCCGTGCTTCACAGAGCAGTTGGCACCCTCAGTAGCACTGGGGTAAGTGGGCTCACCAACACTGTGTATGATTGCGGAATAACTATTATGAATTAGAAGCTACTAGTAGTAAGGACGCTACTAGGGGCTCCTGGCATCGCTACTAGGAGCAAGGATGCTACTAGGGGCTCCTGGCCTTACTACTAGGAGCAAGGATGCTACTAGTAGTAAGGCAATTCTATCTTTAATCGGATCGATCGGAGTCACTGGTCCAAGACTGGTTCAAGATTACTTGCCTCCCTGCCAGTCCAGAGTGTCCGACCTCCCGGTGACCTCCCTATGAACAAGGCGACCAAGGGGAAACTGTTCCGAGAAAGCTTAATTTACTTTGGGTAATTACTTGCAAGATCTTGCAAGGTAGTTCCAAGACAATCTTTTCTTGGCCATCCAAAGCGTGTTGTAAAGTGCGAGGGGTAAGGAATTCCAGGTTCTTAATTCGAGACCCAGGCAATGGCAGAGGAGGAACATAGCTGTTACTTGCAGTTTACTTCTGAGCTTCCTTGAGATTTATCATCGGCGCTGTAGTGTCCAAGAATGAACGGGAGGCACGCATTGGATGGCAATTTGTTTTTTACTGCCACATTTGCCACACGTAATTACAGCATATGGTTCAATATACCAGTATTATATAGTCTGTATAGCAGATGAGAGTACAATTCGCGCAGCAACATCACTCGCTCGTTTTTCCATTCCTGTCCTCCGAGACTCAGCCCAAGAATTTGCCATCGAATATATAGATATGAATACATCAAGAACTGTCCACTGACAGACCTCAGCTGAATCAGCGAGGTCAGCGTTGCTTGTGCCTGGAAGGATGGTCATGGCCTTTGGGGTTTTGTGGTCAGAGCTCGCAACTAATGCGGGTTCAGAATCCAGAGCTTGCTCAGTTTCAGAAGCAGGAGATGTAGTAGTAGTGGATAGTGGTTCAGGACTTGGAGAAGTGGCAATAGCGTGCAATACCTGCAGTAGGAGCAAGTCGCCAAATTGCTGCTAAATGATGCAAGCGCCGCAAGCGCTCCGAAGTTTGGAGACTGGCTCGTGAGCTATCCTGCTAGAAACTCGAAGAAGTAGACTTAAAAGACTAGTAACCTGGACTGCTCTTCCCGTGCACAAGAAGAACCTATGCCGCCTATGCCTTTGCGTTCAAAGACTTGTTCTGCAGCATATGGACGCTGTATTGATGTGTCCAATCAAATGTATTGGACAACGCCTTGTCCTGAACATGATTTAGGCTCACCTACATATATATATATATATATATTCATATTCCATCTGGCCATTCCACTAGGAGAGGCTTCTTAAAGCAGTCAATTTCTCCTCACAACAAGCTATGTGTCATTCACGGTCAAGACTATTTCGCAACAACCGCAGATGGGGCTTGGTGCAGCACCTGTATCATAGAGCCCTACTGACCCAACTATTTTATGGAATTGTGTCTTGTTTGTTGAGTTGTACATCTATTGGTCTAGTAGTCTATAATTATATACAAGAACCACACTTGGTGCAGTTCCTGAAAAGTAGCGAACCCTCTTCTTGTTGACCAGTGACCAGATATAGTTATGTACATATATATACATATAATACATAGTATCATATATATGATATATATATATATCGGCTGCAAGGCCAACAAGTCAGAGCACACCACACATTGCAAAGCAAGCGTAGCAGGGAGAAGTCATTTGCCGCTGTTGCTAGCTACCAGCCTGATGCCATCTTGAACTAGAGCAGTACTGATTTGGTTTTGCATCAGAACTGATTTGCCCGACGGGCAGATCGGGGCAGTACACTTGTGCTTGGGCCTGGGTGTTGATGCCATGTTCGGTACCGGATCTCAGCTGGTGCCAACTGAGCGGAGTGCCCGCATGAATGAGAATGGGCCAAAGCTTCTCGGACGCATTGTTTAAAGTGAAACCTAATTCTGCGCGTCAATTCCTGTTGTCCTGCTGATTCTAGGTCCACTTTGTGTGCACCATTGTCCAAACTAACAAATAAACCGTGGTGGACATATGTATGATGAACTGGCAAGTTTACCTGCTCAAAATATAGGAACCAAATGAATAGTACGAGCGCTTCTTCAAGGAAGCCCCCCCCGCTGCCTTTAGGGCGGCGGGGGGGGAACTTCATTGACGAAGCGTGAGCTATCCTGCGTCCATCCTACGGCCTACCCCCCCTTAAAAAATACTTTCAGCGTGGCTCAGTTCTTTGGAGCAAGGTGGCAGTGCGACAATTGTGGACATCTTAATGAAGCTTGGCAAATATGTGGCTCTCTTTGTTTGCTCGTGAAAACAGCCTGTTGTGTTGAACTGAACCTGAGAGACTAGTGTCTAGCTAGACAGAGTGCAATCAAAAAGCTGTTTGTGAATCTGACCAGTGGGAGTCGGAGCAAGTCTTTGCTGGCCTTACAGCTTACAGTAATGTGGAGCAATGTGCGCGCTTCTTCCGTCTTACTGCAGTTGGACTGCTCGGGCAGCTCTTGCGTACTCAAGCATGTAATCAGCTAAGCTCCATATATATATATACTATTTATGATTTTATATATATAACTACTTTTGGTTCAGAGGGTCTTGGTTTTGCGTTGTTGCCGCTGTACAAACAAAGGAAAGAGCACGGTCTAGAGAAAAGAAAAGAACGTCAATTACATATCTTAAACTTCACACAATACTTGTTGTAATTATTTGCCCACCGGAGCAATCCGCACCCAAGCGGTGTTCGCTTCAAACTTGTCGCCAAGGCACAGTCAGTGTCTCACTGCAGCAAATGCTCCCATTTGCGGCAGGAGGAGCTGCCCGCGTTTGTCCCAACTGTGCAGGGAAAGATGGTGCAAGAAAATATTGTAATATGTTCTTTTGGAGGGCAAACATGTACTCAATACCACCACAATTACTATACTGTTCTCAATACCACAATTACAGTCCTGGACATGAACAGCTTTAGCAACCTGTTGACTGGATACGCTGCAGTCAGTGATATATATATATATATATGAAACGTCTCGCGGGTTAAAACGCAACACCGTATGCGTTTTTGATCGCAGTGTTTCGGCTTCGGCTTGGCATGCCCCCTCCGGTGGAGGGAGGGGGCTGTTCGTGCGAGTTCTGTAATCTCCTACGCCGAGCTGGAGAAACCGTTCACCGCCTTCGAGTACACGAACATCGGGTGGAGGTGTTTTCGAAGCTACATCAGGCGTACGTGTTGGCCCTTGAACATACTCTCCTGGTAAGTCGGGAGGGGGCTCCTGGAGGGGAGCCAGCGGGATTGGGTTGCCACCCCGAGTCTGCCACCGGTTCTGCTTGCGCCACCAGTAGGATCAGCTCGAAAGGAAGAAGAGGGTCGAAACGAGACTGAGGAGGGAGCCACCAAGAAGAAGAAGAAGAAGAGCAAGAAGCGGCCAAAGCCTGAGGAAGAGGAGCCATCAGAGGAGGAAGAGCTGCCCGAGGACAAGGCCAAGAACAAGAAAGAAGAGAGGAGCAAAAAGGCTCGATCAGAAACTCCTGAGACCTGGGTTGAAGGAGTAAAGAAATCAATGGAAGAGGACAAGCGTGAGCCACTGCCCAGAAAGAGCATCAAGCCCAGTATAACACCTGCACTACAAGGGAAAGAAAAGAAGAGCAGAGAGGATACAAAGCCCAAGGAGAACAAGGGTACTAAGTTGAATCTGAGGCCAAAAGCAAAGGTGAACAGGCCCCGATCCAGAAGCCGCTCAAAGGAGAAGAGGACGAAGGAAAAGAAGAGAACGAGGAGTCGGAGCCCTTCCATACTTGCCGGGGGAGACAGAGGAGTCTCCTCGAGGGGTACAGAGAGAGAGCAGGTCACCAGATCATCCTCCGCCTTTGCACCGCCAGATTCTCGCTCAAAGCCCAAAAAGAACAAGGGCGTGAAAAAGGAGTTGAAGAACGAAAGGTATTGGGAGCGAAGGAGGCAGCAGCTCTGGGAAGAGCAGACAAGGGGGCACGGCTATAGGAGCGCGGGGATGCCCCCCAAAAGGCGACCGGCGCCAGCGGCTGTCAGAAGAGGAGTGTTGAGGAGGCCTGCGCGGCCGCCAGTGGCACTGGGAGATGGAAAAAGGCGGGAGAGATAGATACAGATACTCTCTTGGGCTGGCCATGGGTGCAACTTCGAGGTCGCTTCCGGGAGGAAGAGGTCAAGTTGGTCGGCAAGGTGATCGAAGTCAAACGGCGTTGGCCGCGAAGTGCTAATGAAGAGCAGCGAGACCTTATTGAAGGCCCGCAAGCAGCAGGCGGATCCGAGTCCACTTGTGCCCGGATCCGTGCCCGGCCTTGATCTGGGAAGAGGGCTGCATTCACTGCAGACACCTTCGGCGAGCAAAGAGAGAGGACATTGGGTGGAGCCAAAACCAAGAGGCCGCAGTCCAGAGAGAGAGAGAGAGGAGCCGAGGAAAAGGTGTGGGGTCGAGGCCAGAGAAGGAGAAGAAGAGGGCGAGGTCTCCTGGTACGTCGGGAGACGAGGAGGAGAAGAAGAGAAAGAAAAAGAATTACTTTACTTCGAGTGATCCCCACCATGACATTCATACATTTGTCTTGATGCCATAGCGAGGAGCATGTTGCCATGGTCGTGAATATTGTAGTTCTCGACGTTGCTTGTGGGTCCTCGGGTTGTGTGCTGTGGTTGTGTGTTGTGGTTGTGGTTGTGTGCTGTGCATTCTATCTGGCAATGTATCTAGCAATCTATCTGACACACTATTTGGCATACTATCTGGCATATCTTCTTGCAGCATTCTATCTGGCAATCTACCTGGCGTTCTATCTGGCATTTTATCTGGCAAACCATCTGGTTGAGGTCCAGCGGTGCACACTGCGATCGGATCCTTGCGGTTGAGGTCCAGCGGTGCACACTGCGATCGGATCCTTGCGGCTGAGGTCCAGGGGTGCACACTGCGATCGGATCCTTGCGGTTGAGGTC